GGCTCTGTACAGCCGCACAGAAGCAAATGTGATTAGTGTCTGTAGAATAGCTCTGTACAGCCACACAGAAGCAAATGTGATTAGTGTCTGTAGAATGGCTCTGTACAGCAAATGTGATTAGTGTCTGTAGAATAGCTCTGTACAGCCGCACAGAAGCAAATGTGATTAGTGTCTGTAATGGCTCTGTACAGCAAATGTGATTAGTGTCTGTAATGGCTGACACTGCACGCTAAAACTTCATAAATTCTAGGCTTGAACAGGAATACAGCAGTTTGAAACTGAGCCCCCGCTGTCAGCGGACACAGTATAGTCAGAACGTCCGCCCTGTGGTTGGGGTTTTTTGAGCCAAAGTTCCAGATGGGGGGCTGATTTGGTGGTTAAGAATGAGGCTGGCTATTGCCCCCCCCCCACCCCCCCCCGGCTTGGCTTTGACATGTGACTGTGAGGGAGGTAACGGCACATTCCCCCGCCACCAATCCCCTGGCATTTTACGCTACCCTACTATATTCCAGGGGAATTCTACAAATTTTAATTAAAAGAAGTGCCAGTTTCCTGCAGACAGATAATCTCCATCCGCACCCCCAGATGAGCAGCCCCTCGGATGATGTGCTTGACTAGTAGGCAGAATATCTTGGTACATGGTTCTTTGCGGACAGGAGGTGGTTTTCCTCCGGCTATTAAATGTCAGGGAGGTGCAGTTACAGTGGCAGTTACAGTGGCCCCTCACACATCGATCCATCTGCCACTGCAAAGAGTGATTCAGTCCCCCCAGTATAGAGGCTGATTGGGACACCTCTTCAGCGGGGAGGGTTTTTGGTTTTTGCAGGGGGGAGGGGGGGACCTCCTGCAGTGCTTTACCCACCCCCTGACTGGCTTGGGCTCATTCTGCTAAAAGTCTGTAATGTTTGGTTACATTTTTAATCCAGAGTTTTATCACACAGAGAGGTTTAAGCTGCAGGCTGCACTTTGACCTCTATCCTTGTGAAAATTCTGTCCAGTCTTAAGAAAAAGAGCATCTGGGTATCTGACTCTAAATAAGCTTGTTTGAGCTGTGTGGAATTACTATTATTTATTGTTTAAAATGGGCTTACCCCACTTTAATTATTCATACGTCTTATTATATTCCAGCACTCTGGGTGCAGCTTCTGTGACTCAAACTTGGGATCTTCGTGCCCCCAGGCTTGTTCTGTAGTCACTGTGCCATGGAGTAAAGTCGCTCTCTGACTCACTGATGCAGGTTGCTGTTCGGGGCTTTGAACTGTTCTGACCCCGCCCCTTCATCTCCCTGCCTCCTCATATGCCCAACCCTTTCACTTTTCTGCCTCCTCATATGCCCTGCCCCTTCACCTCCCTGCCTCCTCATATGCCCAACCCTTTCACTTTTCTGCCTCCTCATATGCCCTGCCCCTTCACCTCCCTGCCTCCTCATATGCCCCGCCCCTTCACCGCTCTGCCTCCTCATATACCCCGCCCCTTCACCTCTCTGCCTCCTCATATGCCCCGCCCTTTCACCTTCCTACCTCCTCATATGCCCCGCCCCTTCACCTCTCTGCCTCCTCATATGCCCCGCCCTTTCACCTTCCTACCTCCTCATATGCCCTGCCCCTTCACCTCTCTGCCTCTTCATATGCTCCACCCTTTCACGTCCTTGCCTCCTCATATGCCCCACCCCTCTCCCCGCCCTCTCCCCTCAGACTCACGCCGAAGTGTGAGCTCCTCGCCCGATGCCTCCCGCCGCATGTGGCAGAAGTTGCGTGGCAGCACCGAGTTCACGCTGCTGGTGACCCTGCGGCAGGATCGTGCTAGCTCAGGAGTCATCCTGTCCATCCGAAATGCCGAGCACAGGTAGGCTCTCTCAGCTGATTAGCCCAGTGCCTTGGAGGGCGGGATCTTAGCCTCGCCTTTTATGTCACATATCCTACAAAGAAACCGAGGCATTTAAAAGATCATACATCACTGCAAGGTGGCTGATAGTAGTATTACACCACCCATTGACAGTATTGGGTGACTGACAAGAATATGACATCACCCATTAACAGTGGAGGGTAACTGACAGCAGTATGACATCACTCATTGACACTATTGGGTGACTGAAAAGAATATATCACATCACCCATTGACAGTGGAGGGTAACTGACAGCAGTATGACATCACTCATTGACACTATTGGGTGACTGAAAAGAATATATCACATCACCCATTGACAGTAGAGGGTAACTGACAGCAGTATGACATCACTCATTGACACTATTGGGTGACTGACAACAATATGACATCACCCTTTGACACTGCAGAGTGATTGACAGCAGTTTGACATGATCCATTGGCACTCGAGGGTGATTGACAGCAGTATGACTCCATCCATTGGCACCAGAGGGTGACTGACAGCTGTGTAAATCTTTCCACTTTGATGTTTCTAAGCGTGTTTCATTTTACAGTGATTAATAAACTTTGTTCAGGATGTCATCAGGCTTTCATGTTTTGTATTTTTACAAATACAAATATTTCCAGGCAATGCCACAACTACACTTCCTGTATTAAGCTATTTAAAAAAAATCTAAATCTATATTTGCTGAGGTCAGAAGTATTTTCAGTTCCTTTGTTGAGCAGGATACTTCGGGAAAACAATCACGTCGCTCACCGAAAAGGGGATCAGACGTTATTTTTTCTTATTATTTCCCATTTATTGATCTTGATCCTTCCAAGCGACAGCCGGCGACCGCATGACGGACGTCGGTGAAGCGAAGCGCGAAGGGCAGAGACCTGAGGCCGCTGCTGTGCGCGGAGAGGAGGCTCGTCTCGGGGGACTCGCACGCTCAGAGGCGCCCGATTGTTTAGGTGTCAGTCGGGCTCTTGGTGGACGCCTAAGAGCTTACAGGCAGTGTCTGGGAGGGGGGGGGGGGTAATCCTTCTGTCTGCCCGACCAGAGCGTCTAATGGAGCTGGTCAGGTTTCGATCGGTTTAGACTCAGAATATCAGTTTTAGCGTGATGTGATTGGGGAGCTCACACTGCGGTGGCATTTCCCTTCGGTTTATTGTTTCCTGTGTTCCCAGTAATGCGGGCAGGGAGGGTTATGCTCTTCTTCAGCTGATCTGATGAAATGAAGCAGGGGCTCCCACCTGCTGGTGCCAGTGATCCCCCGAGCCGCAGAACGCTGGGGGTTCAGGGGAGGGATTAGTTCATTTCAAAATATAAACCATATCGTGATGTCAAACTCCAGTCCTGGGGGGCCGGAGCCCTGTGTAGCTTAGGTCTTTCCCTGTTCCACCACAAATTATTCAGCTCAAGAGCTGTGTGGTAATTAGCACAAGGAGTTGAATCAGGTGTGTTAAATGAGGGGAAACCCAAAAATGTGCAGGGCCCCGGCCCCCCAGGACTGGAGTCTGACACCCGTGAACTATATACTTTCAAGCCACACCTGACATTCGCACGTTCTGATTGTATCTGAAGCAACTAAACTTAACTCCAGCCCACCGATTGATCTACAGGCACCCCCCACCCCCACTACCCCCCAAGGGCAAATTTTACTGCCAGTCCCCCTCGCCCCGGTGGTTAACAAACAACTGATGACGTTGGCAACAGTTTTCTATTAAGCGTCTGTAATCCGATCTCAGATATTTCTACACATCTTGCTGATCAAAAGGTTGGGAACCCCTACAATAAGGGGATTGATAAATTCTTTATTAGTTGACACTTATATTTGAGCTTAATGTGGTACAATAGTATTATATTTAAGGTTCTGGATATTTATGGGATCAGATGGATTAAAGCCAGACGGTCTCTGTAATGCCCGGCATTGTAGCCATTTTTCAGCCCTCTGTGATGCCTCTTAGGTTCCTGGAGCTGGAAAGCAGTGGACAGCGAAGCGAGGTCCGCCTGCACTACCGGTCCCAGGGCCATCAGCCTCGCACCGAGATCTTCCCCTACGCTCTGGCGGATGGCCAGTGGCACAAACTGTCAGTGGCTCTGAGCGCCTCCCACCTCCAGCTGCATGTGGACTGCAACAGGTAAGCAAGCCCTGCCCGCCGCTGACCAGTGGGCGTGTCCATGTCCAGAAAGCCCCTCCCCCATCAGCCAACATCCCTTGGTCTGTTTCAGGGTGTATGAGAGAGTGTTGGAGCCCCCAGCCATGGATTTACCAGAGGAGGCTACACTCTGGCTTGGACAGAGGGGCAGTGGCCACGCCCTGTTTAAGGTACTCGCCCAGTAGCTTCTCAGTTCAAGGCCCACATCAAGATCATGCACATTCATCAGATCCTGTTAAGGCTCCAGTTCCAGCTCTTGGGCCACATCCCCAGACCCATTAAAGAAACTAGGCTGGCAGCTATGATGCTAACAAGCATCTTAAGCCTCTGGACCTTCTGAGGTTTTATTAGTTCATATTGTAGCGTCATGGTTATTAGTGTCAGAGTTTGAGGATTTGATGAACTCAAGGACTTTTCTTCCGGTTGTTTTTTGACTGTCAAATTTATCAGCTCTTTGGTATAACTAAGCAGAAATTTGTCTTGTTCGTTTGAAGGTGAAATACGATTAGGATCAGAGTTCTGTAGGTTTCCGTGCCTTCTGATCTAATTTTGACAAGATACAACTAAATATATCAGATGTAAAAATCAACCCAAAACACACCAAAAATAGTTTCTTCCTCCCAATGTCCTGTATCATATAACTCAATCATTTGAACAGTAATCAGAAAACGACACTAATAATGTCTGCAGCCTTTGCTCCTCACAGTTAATGGGACATTAACCACAGATACAAATTCCTTGTTAATTACATGACTTAATCACTATTCACATGGTTTCAATGGAACATCCAACACCCTCCTATATGACTTTATGGCCAAGCTAGCAGAACGACGTGACTATGACTTGAAGTTAGCATGCTGATGGAGCCCTGATCTCATAAGCTCATTTGTTGTTGCTCGCAGGGGATAATGCAGGATGTCCAACTACTTGTGATCCCTCAGGGGTATATTTCACAGTGCCCTGACTTGAACCGCAGTAAGTTTTTGACTCGATTGCGTTTCCTGATTTTCAAACTCCAGGTGGTTTATCCTAAGTAAAGTGTCTCAAACTGTGTGGGTTCAGTAATGCTTCTCTACTCAGCCTGCCCCACTTGCAATGACTTCCATGGACTCGTACAGAAGATAATGGAGCTGCAGGACATCTTGGCCAAAACGTCCAGCAAGGTATTGATCAAAATGCCCCACTTCTGCTAGAGGAGAGCAGAGCATTATGGATACATTATGAAGGTGCACTGAATGTTCTACGAATGCATTATAAAGGCATTGTGAAGGTGCACTGAATGTTCGAATGCATTATAGATGCTTTATGAAGATGCACTGAATGTTCTATAAATGCATAATGAACGTATTACAAAGGTGCAGTTAATGTAAAATGTTACCCATCATTGCACATTTGTAATCATGTATGAGTTGCCATATCTGTAAGTCAATTGTAGTAATGAAATAGTTGATTAATTGGAAAGTTATACATGAAAAGCAAACTCAGTTGAATTCTTGTTGTGAATCTGCTGACGTACACAAACAACTGCACACTGACCGAGACAGTGGCTTGTCTGTTTCTTTGGACAGTTGGCTCTAGCTGAAGACAAGATGACCGACCTGGACCGGTGCTACTGCGAGCGCACCTGCAACGTAAAAGGCGTGGTCTACAGGGAGGGCGAGGCCTGGGCAGACGGCTGCAGAAACTGCTCCTGCATGGTATTCTCCTCTTTCACCTCAGGCGGGATCTTTCTGCTGTGGCTATTTCCTTCAGAAATATTATCCGTCGCTTTATTTGTGAGACCCCGCGGTATTACTGCCTGCCAGCCTCAGGTAGCTGACTTTTCACACTGAGAATCAAATGGCATCATGCACTGATTGGAGGACCAGCGCGGCTCATTGCATTGATCATACAGAGGCGCTCTTGCAGTGAGCAGCTGACATACCCTGGCCTGTTAATCCCTTCACACAATGACATCTGCGTTTTCCCTGGAGCTCCAGTTACAGGCCATGATCTGAGCCATAGGCAGAGTCCTTACCAAGCTTATCACAAGGCCTGGTTCAGAGGGTTTAACCCTAAACTTGGATTAATTTACACCCAGAATAAACACAGACCTTATAATAATTCTGATAAACAGTTCTGTCATCCCTGAGCTTTCAGCAGAGGCCTTTTTGAAAGCATGTTTATATGAAGATGTTTAAAAAAGTCTCGCATTTTGAGAGCGAGATGATAGTGTTTTTTTTTCTTCTTCTTCCTTCCCCTCCAGAACGGCACGGTTAAGTGTGAGATCATTACCTGCCCCCCTGCCCAGTGCCCCCCTGATGCTACCCCCGTTTATGTGAATGGTTCGTGCTGCCAGGAATGCCAGCGTGAGTAGACCCGCGGTCCCAAACCGCATCTCCAAACCTCCGCGCTATCTCCCGACGCCATTGGCCGTCACCGGCTGACCGTGCCTCCGTGTTGCTAGGCTACCCCGCATCGCGTCTCGGGAGACGTTTGCATTTGCATCCACATAAATAATTCAGGACGAGGTTTCCAAACACAGATGTTTAGAAGAGACTTAAATATGAACCACAAAAATCAAAGTTTAAGTAATGAAATTATCTCTCCTGTGTTTACCAGTCTGGGGGTTTTCTGATAAGAACTATGTCTCTCTGCTCTGTTTTCTTGTTTTAACGATTTTTCTCTAGTAGATGGTGATTTTTTTTCCCCCCCAGATAAAAGGACATGTTCAAAGCCCTTCTGCCAACTCTCTCTTACAGAAATAACATTTAATTTATATCTATATGCATTTTACCAATAGCCATTTAGCAGAAAAAATGGGGCATTTAATGTATCACAGTCATATAAATAATTTTATTAGGGTACCTGGACAGGGAGCGTCTATTTATTTATTTATTTATTTATTTATAATCTGCTGTGGCTGCTATTGAAATTTAGAACTGCAGAAGTCTAACAGTTTAAAGAAGAGAGTTTTGTACATGTACAATAATCTGTAATTTACTGGTGATTAAATCTATTAGCAGTTATTAATATGAGTCAAATATGTATTAGCATTTTAATTATGCCTTAGGAGGACTTTGTTTCTAATCCATACGCTGAGGACACCTTTCCCTGCTGTTCTGCTCATGGTGTTGTGGAACGTTGAAGCTCTGTGTTTCAGGAGGCATGGATTAAACATCAAACGTGCCTTCATGCCACAGACGCAGTCTCTGGAGTCCTTTGCCTGGTTTTTGCACATTTAATGGCGTCGTGCGAGTGTGTTTATGGCGCAGCTGCGGGGATTCATCTGGGGTAGGAGTTGATTAGCCTTGAGGATGCAGTTTTAGGTCCGCGCTGCTTTGTATGTGCATCCAGTAGTTTATCTGGTAGAATGAGTGGTTTCTTTAGGTCACGTCTTTTTGGGGGTAGGGGGGTTTGTCGTCCCTGAGAAGCACTTAGACCAATCCACACCCCCAATACGCTTGTCTCTTTGCTTAAAATCTGCCATTTCACTGGTAAATGGCAGGTTAATAAGCTTTTATACATGGACAGATACATTTGCCCGCGAGAAGATATTTTTGGTGAATCTGACTTTGGTCTTTTGCAACCAATTTTCAGTCATTTTCGGTAACAGGTATATTTTTTGAGACAGAAGGTCAATCCAAGTCTTCACCTGCAACAGGGGCACAACAAATCATCATTGTCTTGCTTTGCACCCATTTGTATCCAGCCTGATCTGCAATTTCATCCTTTTATTGTGGCTGAATGTTTTACTTGAGTGGTTTGTGTTAAGTTCCAGGCTCACGGTGATTAAAGAAAGACGCTTTTTGGAATAAGATCTGCCAATCTTCAGGTTAAATCTTCAAATGTCCATCTAATTTTCCCTCAAAAGAAACAAAAACAAACATCACACATGCAAATACCGTTTCCCTCCTGCCAGCAAGGACCACGTAGCCATTGCTTTTGTTCCTTTTTGTCTTTATTTACTATTGTTACCCTCAGCTTTTGTACGTCCGTTAATGACACTGGGGGAACTATGTTGGGAAAGGAACTATATAAAGACAAACTAAATTAAACTCAGAAACAAAGAAAATAACACTGATATAAAAAGCAAAAACCTGTTTCCTTTTCTGCTCTGTTAGTAAATTGCAGTTTTTAATTTCACACGCTGAAATTGTTAGCTGTGAGCGAGCTGTGAACACAGTAGATGCTTCTGTAATGGAGCTAATTCCATCCTGCGGGTGTGTGTATGTGTGTGTTCACGTCGTCAGCGTGGTAAAGCTCACTGCCGCAACACCTGAGCACAGGTGCTCCTGTTTAACTGTCTGTTTCTGTGTTCAGTGGTGTGCCTGTTCGGTGGAAGAGTGTACGTGGAAGGGGACAGGAAGGCGATGCATCACCCCTCCGGAACATGTACTCTGTTCGAATGCCAGGTGAGTAACACTTCTAACCTCCGCAGTGCTTTTTTCAAGAGCATTAGCCGCTGGCTGATAATGGTTGCGTCTGCGATCAGGACAGGGCGATGCGTCGAGTGGAGCCCCCTGGCTGCCCGGAGCTGAACTGCTTGGAATCAGAGCAGATCACCCTCACAGACCGATGCTGCAGAGTCTGCAAAGGTGGGGAGGCGTTGACACGCGCAAAGGCTGCCAGAACAAGCGTACTCCATACCTGTGATTGGGAGATTGACGGATCAAATCCCAGGGTTGGCAGAGTGATGTCACTGTTGGGTCCCTGAACTAGTCCCTTAACCCCAGTTACTCCAGGGACTTTGTGACCCTGTTCTTTCAATTATATGTTGCATTTCACAAAAGAATTAGCTAAATAAACACATGTAAATGTATAATAGTGAAGAGCAGATTACTTTATTCACTGCTCCTGATCAGCAGTTCCTGATTGGCTGGGTTAAAAATCAGGGCAGTTAACGGGAAGTTACGATATTCTGGGTCACAGCAAGCAGATGTGACCCTCTGATAGGCTACTTCCACTCCCCAACCACTTGTGCCCCACCGTCCCCCAGGGCACGACTTCTGCGGCGAGGGTCACGGCTGCATGGAGAACTCAGACTGCATCAACCTGGAGGCGGCGGCCTGCTGCCAGTGCCGGGACGGCTTTCGGCCACTGCGTGCCGACGAGGCTTACTGTGAGGGTATGTAACCACGGCAACCACCTCCCGGGCTCATCGCCAGGGTGCCGACCCCTCCCTCGCAGAGATCCTACCTGAGATGCCTGACATCCCGAACGCGGCACGTTTTGCTGAGCACAGTCGTAAATTTCCCGTTTCCCGCACGCGTTGCACATTCCAGTATCTCCCTACCTGCTGACTAGACTAGTCTCCTGCATCTCGTTAACCGGCAGTTGGGTATCAGTTTATATGTTTTATGGGCCGGCTCCTTGGTCCTAAAGGGCTTGTAAATGCAGTCTCCTGACGTATTTCTGCTCCAGCAGCCGGCTCTCCTCAGGATTATTGTTTGCTCAGTGTAGCAGTGGTGTGAAGGATCTCCCCTCCGCTCCTCACGCCTTCAACACGTACATACGTGATTAATGTGTAGAGCGGGTGGGGGACTGCCGTGGGACGGCAGGAAATGACACGCCATATTTTTTTTTGGCCTACTCTGCTCCTGGGACTTCGCCATGCCGGCGTTCCCTTCTCCGGCTCCGGAGTTTTGGCTGTGAGGTCCCCATTTCGGCTGTTAGATACTGTAAAATGTGCCATGAAGTATAGTGCGACGGTGCCGTACGGTGCAGCTGCGTGTTAAGTGGCCGTCGTCCAGTAAGACTCTTCGGTGCACATTTGCACCCCTGATAATCAGTGAACATGTGCTGCAAAGTGGGTTTTAATATTTTGCTCAATTAAAATGTGCAGTAGAATCCATTGTTGTCTCCTCCTGCCATCCAAAGACATGCACTTAGGCTAATTGGAGTCTCTAATAGTGTAGGAGTGCATGTACGTGACCTGTGATTGGCTTGCCTCTCAGTTGGGGTGTACCCCAGCCTTGTGCCCTTTGCTGCATAAAATAGGCTCTAGGTCCCTACGCTGCCTTGACTAGAATATGGATAGATCAGGGGGGGGCCAATCTTATCCGCAAAGGGCCGCTGTGTATGCGGGTTTTCGCTGCAACTCCCTAATTAGATTACTAATTAGAGGACTGATTGGCTGAAGAGTCCTCACACCTGGGTTTGAACAGCTGACCTACAGGTTATCCCAAAAACCTGCATACACACCGGCCCTTTGCGGGTAAGATTGCCCACCCCAGGGATAGATGGATGATTTAGAATCCATCACAGAAGCAGAAAGACAAACTAACTAGCAGCTAGGCATCCATTCCCACTTCGATTGTTGGTGTTTGGTTTGGAGAATCGTGAGGTGGCATGATTGTAGAGCACAGGGGACTTCCTGCTCGCATCCCACAACCGATTGGCAGTAGTGGGGGTCGGGGATTTTTAACAACGCAGGCAGAATAAAAACCTTCAGGGGATTTAACATGCGAGCATTCGGCCTGCTAATCACTCCGGCTCGGAGTGTCTGCACAGTTGTCAAGTTCCCGCTTCCTGCTTAGAAACCCAAACGTTCGGGGCGGCTCACATGTTGGGTGCAGCATACATCTATCGGAGGCTGTCAGGCTGCCGGATGCACCCTGATTGGCCCTCGGTTTGAGTGGCGGGTGACCTGAAGTGTGGGTGGCGAATGAAGAAGGAGGACACACCCTGTGATAGAGACCTCAGGATGTCCTAGAGATTGACGAGCATAGAATTAGAGAAACGTTTGACAAACATGAAGAAAATATTTGATAAACGTGTATTTCAAGGTCCTCCATGTGTGGAAATTCTGCTACCACTAAATGCATCCATGACTAGAATAAGTTTTAATTGGTTGCGGGGGGGGATTGTAAGTATGAACATGATTGACAACCTTCCAGGAGAACTGAAGATGTGCCTCAGCCTAGCCCCCCCCCCAAAAAAAAGGTGGTGAGATCATTTCTCGCTAAATGTTTTATGAAAGTACTGGCATGAATACTCTGGGGCATAAGGCTTTCTCAGCCCGAGAGCTGTTCTGTCAGATTGCAATGACGTGCTCAATAACTCAACACTGCAGAAATGGTGTTTTCCAGGACTGTGTTAAGTAGCAACATAGCAACACGGTGTCAAGGATCGGGATAAGCCGTCACTGCGAGCTAAGAGACATCATCTGCGTCGGCCCTACTGTGATGCTTGTTTAACTTGTGTTAACACGTACTGGCTGCTTTTGTATGCTTTTGGGAAGCATTTTAATTAGCCTCATACTCACTGATTAATCTTGAGGGTACCGTAAGAGGGAAGATTCGAAGGGCCGGAGCCCTGCGGATGATCATTTGCAGTATCGTCATGGGATCTGAGAGACTGTATGTTTTTGTTCTGTCTTGCACCAACAATCTTGATTCAAGTGATGAAGGACTGGATGAATAGCTGGCTGACTGAGGTGTTTGTGCTGGGATCAGAACACAAATATGTCGTCCCTAAAGCTTTTCTGTAGGAATTATCCCTCTTTGCCATGTCCACAGTTCTTAAACTATTGTTGTCTACCAGCATTTATCCTGTATGGACTTTGGATGTAATAATGTCTGTTTGATTTTTTTTTTTGGTACAGTCGTACCAAAATGATGTTCTCCCTTGGGACAATGCATTGGTCCTTGTCATGCATGCAGTCCAATTTAAAGGGTCGATATGACCGTATCTTTCTCGCACCGAACGGCATATCACTCAATTGCAAATCACTCCGTCGGAGTCATCTATCGGGCAAAAGGCTGTTTTCTGCCAGTAACGAAGCATCGAGGGGCACTTCTGTGATTCATCGTGCCGGTCATTCGTTCTGGAATGTTCTTAATTTAACATCCCCCTCCCCACCTCACAGAGCACCTATCCAGCAATGCTCCGGAAAACCTTCACGCTGCCAAAACTTCGGCTGCCTTCCGGCAAGATCTGCTCCTGTCAAAACACCGCCCCGTCTCCCTGGCGTGTGTCCCGCTGTAAACGAGGCGGCGGGTTTGTTCTTACCTCGTGTCTCGGAAGCGTCTCGGAAAAGGAATGAGAGTGTGACGGCACGCCGGGGGGTCACCGGGGAACAAAGGCACAACTCCAGGGTGCACTGACAGCATCCCCGGTAAGGGGCTGCTTTTTGTGGGAATAGGTGGGCCTGCGACTGAACTCTCAAAGAATCCTGGGAAAAACACCAGCAAATGAGACCCGAAGAGCACCCCCCCCCCAATTGATAATGAGGCCACCAATGTCAGTGAAATATGGTCCTTGCCTCACGTTGCCTGGCCCTGAGGGGATGCAGCCATGTTTTTCGCTGTTGGTCACTTTAAACCAAAAAACACAAGTAGGTAAAAATAAACAGCAAATGCAATATTGCATGATATTATTGCTGTTTTGTCACAGTCCCATGGAGCACTTTGCTTGTAAACAAAGTGTGTTTTTTTCCCACCGTTTTGTTATAGCAGCAAAGCAAGCATGACCACACAGTTCTGTCCGTAAGCTGTGTTCATTTACTCCACACTGATATTATCGACTCACTCTCTTGAATCAGGGACCGGAATCAGCTCACAAGAGACTCCTAATCCTTCAGTGTATGTATTTTCCTCTAAGTCGGTCCAGTGCTAGAGCCCAGGGTTCGATCATGTGTTATTTGTGCAAATCCCCATATAGTGATGATGATCAGCAGTGCGGGGGCAGCCTGACTGAGTTTCTACAGCCCAGCGAGTGCATTGTCTGTTCCAGTATAGCTTTGCAGAACTGGATAATGGGGGTGTTGTGTATTTTTATGATCGACTTGGGGCATGGTATGAATCAGAATTCGTTCAAACAGTCAAACATACGTATTTACAAACCAAACAAGTGTTAGTTTGAATGACAGTTACGTATAAATAAAGCAGTATATATAGTCTACCACCCAGAGATACAGACATTAAGTATCTCCAGGGGAAATGTTTCTGTTTGTTAATGTAATAGTGTACCTATCCCAGCATGTTCCTGCTGTTTTTCCACTGAGCAGACAAATTTGGCACCTGAATTATCCAGCTAAAATCTGACTGTATGAATGTGTCAAATTAGGCTTGTGCTCAGGGGTCGATTTAAGTGTAGGGCTACCACCTAATCCGTGTCAGCAAGGACACTTTGAGCTCGGACAGGGTTTGTAAACTACCATTTCAATCAAAAGGACCTGGATTTCACTTTAGCACTGAGTTATTGCTGTATGCCGATTGGTCAGTCTCCTATAATCATGCATGTGTCACTAATGTTAATATGAAACAGCTGGATGAGTCTTTCAAACAAGGAAACAAACCAGTCAAAGCACAAGAAGAACAGAACTATTTAACCCAACACAGGAGCCTTTCAGTTTGAAAGTAGTTTGTAAAACCTGAAGTAGTTCAAAGTGCAGAGGTGTACGTCTAAGATCCAGAAAGTAAAAATCCAGACCAAAATTTTGTTTCAACCAACCAGTTGAGTATAAAGATTCACAGTCACAGAGTACTCAACCATATTACTGTAACACCACCCAAGCCTGTTCTTGGCGGTTATTGCTAATCTGTCCACTTGAGCAGTTGTCTCGAAGCACGTGGGTCACCGTATGAAGAAATCGTTCGGCTGAGATGTCTGTTGGCTTGCCGTGTTTTTCAGATGTCCGACATCGTATTCCACTGCTGTGTGGCATCCCCGCTTGGTTTGACATCAATGAAAGCTGACGGTTTCATGCGAGTGTTTTTCCTGCCGCTGAAAGAACCTTTGGTGATTCTGTAGCTGAGGCTGTGCTTTTATAAAGGCAATGACTCAAAATGATAACTCCACCGAGACCGTATCGCAGAAAGTACATGCTGTTTATGCGATTGTCATGCTAGTCCTGTGTGCTATCAGGGGAAGCACAGTGCATCTCAGTCTCATTGACGTACTGGACTCTCTCCACACTGAGCCAAAGGAGACATGACATAATTAAAGCCTCGTAAATAAAGAAAACATTAAGAAGAAGAAGTGTAGCACTAACCTTCAGGGGATTTCCATTGGTCTTGGCACAGTCTTGCATTTAAAAGGCATGAAAAAAGTCACTTGGAGCTTGTTAATGATACGACTAGCCTTGCGACAATTATACTCCATTGTCCCAGAGTGGGAACTGCTGTTGTACTTCTTGCAGTAAAAAAAAAAAACATAATTAATGGAAACAGGAGATTGAGACTGAGACCAGTCGGTAATTGTGCTGAGTTTTATTGCTGTGGTGTGGCTCCCCAGCTCGTTACACGTCACATTCTAACAGCGCTGATTTGTAGCTCTGTTAATTATACCGATAATACCTATAATTATCCCCAGCCGTTATTTTCATTATGATCTTATGGTGAATGAGATATAGAGGTATGCCGTAGCACACTGACCCTGGATCAGTTTACCTGGGCACTGCATAGCCCCTTCCTCTTGGTAGCTGCCTGTGGCCCCTCCTTGAGATGGATAGAAACAGAGGCAGGTAGAAACACTGTCCCCCCCGCCCCCCAGCCCTAGATCTGATCAGACCTGACATCGCAGCCCTAGCCGGTTATGACTGGCTGCCTTGGCTGCTCGTGATATCAGAATCACCGGGGTAACAAAGCCTGATGTTCTGTTCCCCTAGCCTGGGAATCGCGAATCGTGTCCCATTCCAGTGACAGGATCTTGAAAAAGGGCTTCAGTCTTGTGGTCTATATTACACTGCATTAATATCCACTGCAAGAGATCCCCAGCAGATATGTTTTCATTGTTATATAACAATATATATATGGGTTTGTGTGTGTGTGTGTGTGTGTGTGTGTGTGTGTGTGTGTGTGTGTGTATATGTATTAGTACAGGACCAGCTAACATGGAGCAACCTCAGAACATTAGCCAGTGTCTCAGGTTGGCCGCCTGCACCACGTTGTTGCAGCGACCCTGCGATATATCTTAGCGATGTTTCGATGCTCCTGAGCATAGCATCTTCCTGATGCCGATGACGGCGGCCATCTTTTTTTAGCCGGAGGAAACGCAGATGAGGGGAGGACACTGCGACGGGAGATGTGAGAGAAAGCGAGGAGGAATGAAGGTGTGAAGGAAAGCGGTGGATTATAAAACCACACTTGGCAGACGCGTGGAGGTGGGGGGGGGGGGGTGATCGCTGGTGTTTGTGTAGATAAAGGAACAGAGATGAAGAAATTTGCAAGTAAGGGTTCTCTGTAGAGTTCTTTCAGAAAACTCAATGTTTGCTTTTCCAGTGGCCAGTCAGAGTGAACAGATGGTATTTATCCAGTTGCATAGTTGGGCGAAGTTTGAAGGGTCTACAGAAAAAGTCAAGAATGAGGTCAGGCAATTATATCGTTAAACAGGCTGCGCAGAAGGTCTAGACAGGCCAACGAGTGCCTTCCGGACAGATTCGCGTTGAACAAAATTCTTCGGTCGTGCTCCATCAGAGGACCCCGGGAGTGTTTGAGGCCTTAAAACTGACACGTTCTCCTCTCTCTGCCATCGTGCTGTTTTTCTACAGATGTGGACGAGTGTGCAGAGGGCAAGCACTACTGTCGTGAGAACACAGTGTGCGTCAACACAGCCGGCTCCTTCCTGTGCGTCTGCCTCGCCGGCTACGTCCGTATCGACGACTACTCCTGCACAGGTGAGCTCTTCACGGTGGGTGGGCCCAGTCCCCGGCAGCCGGGGATAAACAGGCACACTCCCAAAGGACTGGGTCACATGTCCTACCATGCCATCAATACGACCAATCATTAATCATAATTCAATGTCGATTCTTGACTAAATGACTATAATTAACTCTAATGGGGATCTGTACTGTTCAAGTGGAACATACAGTTCAAGTCACACTGGGTATTAGCAGTATCAAACACCTTTTCCTGATACATTAATGGCCCTGAGGCGTAGCACCAACAATGCAGCCATCTCCATTAGTCTCTAGATATAAAAAACACTCAGGCCGATTTATTAAGTATCTGGACAGAATGACCCCCCAGGATACACTCTGACGGAGAGCCCCGGTGTCCGGGGTTACTTCTGATTCTGCATATCGCCGGTGTGATTGGCTGTGATTAATATGCACAGCCATGGGGCTTGGTCACCTGACCCATCATTTTGGCCCCACGCCGTGGGCGAGCAGGACCAGAGACGGGGCCGACCGTACCGATCCTCCCGGGAGCGTTTCAGAGATCCTGCAGCACAGCCATGGGGCTCCCAGCTTCCCTCTGCACCATGAGAACGACCCCCCCCCCCCAACCTGCACTTCACAACTCTTCTAGATCGTTCTGTTGGCAGCGGAGTGCATAGCACAGTTCGCAGTTCCTCTGAGACACCCTCACTGAGCCCCGTGGCGCCGGTGAGCCTGTGATCTGTTTAAGCCTCCCCTCCAGAGTGGGGGGAACGGCCAATTCGGACTGAATTATAAGCGCCGAGCTGCCTCTGTGCACGGGACGGGGCGGCTTGTAAAGGCGTCCCATTCTTTCCTACAGTCCCGTTTGATCTTCACGCTCCTGATCCTTCTCCCACTCTGCTCCCTGCTGAGCTGATCCCAGACCAGAGCTGCCCTTAGGTTCCACACCCACTGCTGATGATTCACACACTTCCCCAAGGACCAGAGCTCCATTAAGTAGCTGAGGTAGCATGTGATGTAAAAGTCACATGATCACATTGCTGTACTAATAGCTTGTCATATCTACCCGGCATTGTTTCCAGAGTCCTACACTCTGACGTAAAGCTGGTTCGATCGTAATAGGTAAGAGGTACGTGATGATCACTCCTTAAAAGCAGCCAAGTAAAATAATTATCAGGGAAGCGTTTTATCACATGGTTTAAATCCCAGGAAGGAAAATACCAACAGCAAAAAGTATCGCACAATCAAGGAAGGATACAAGAAGGCTTAGAAGCAGGCTTTTTGGAGCTCATGGGAACAAGCTGATCCGTACATATGATGATCAGCACATGCGTGAGGGATCACGTGCCTGATTAGCATGTCACACACGAGAGTAAGCGGGTTGGATAAGCTGATTTACAGATATAGCAGATATAGCTGTGCCCTATTTACACCGTGGGTTGGAAGATTACCGTCAGAGTGGTCGTAGATCATGGCCAGTAATAAGCAATGAAAAATTACTATGTGTGATTACATACAAATTGGTGCATGTTTGGAATCGGTCTCGAATCGGCACTGGGAGTCAAACCTGAACTAGGCTATTGTTTTATAATCATTCATACATAATGATATGCTGCCATAGTAACTCTGAGGGACATGTATTATATTTTTTCTATAAGAACTTGAAGTTAAATAGGGCATCTTTATATAGATGTTTAAAACGAGCTGTAACTGAATCCTAAAACTATTTAGCGATGTCATTTGTAGGGTTCTGTGTGTGAACTGAATTCTGGCAGCAGTGTGGGACTATTAGCTGAAACTAGCGGTTAGCAGTTATGTCTCGGAGGAGTCTGGCTGGAGACAGGGAGACCTCATTTCTATTCAAGAGACATCTTACAAACAAGGAGAATAAGGAACATCACAGTGTACACAAATACTACTGCGTTCCAAACCAACTTATTTTGTAAAATGAGGGGAAACTGTGATGTTTCCTCCAGTCCTGCAGAGGGAGCTGCATTTGAATGGTCACAGGTGCTGTGGAGACCCTTCCACATCCTGTGACCCAACCTGGAAGTGCTGCCAGTTAAAAAGCTCTGCTGTTTATATAAGGATTCCGGCTGCTTGTTGCTTCCTAGTATCAGGTCTCATGCCGTAAATTAGGTAGAACTTCTAGTTTATACTTTTTCCTGGTGTTGGTGAATGTTTTTTAGCTCCTGATCCTCATCTCCTACCCCGTCACTTTGTTCTGTATCTGTCACACGTGACTCCACACCTCACTATTGCCCTTGACTGACGGGGGTGGGGGGGATGGGTGCTCTAGCCTTGGGGGCAGTATGTGGCCCCGCAAGTTATGACACCTTGCCTGTAATCGGATGGTTCCCAGTTCAAATCTGAGGGCCGGCAGAGTGAGGCCCTTAACCTCTGGTTGCTCCAAGAGTAGTCTGTCACTGCTTTCTCAGAAATCTCTTTTTGGACAAACATGTCTGTTAAAGTGAATAAATCGCAGTTGTGCTCAGGGTCTGGCGGGGGCCCCTGTGAGTTGATCATGGTGAGCCTGGCAGTGCGATCCCAGTCTTTGTGCTTTGGCATGCAGTTTAGGCAAAGTCCATTACACGGCCTGTCACTAAATTAGAAAGAAATATGCACACACACCTTTGGGATGCAAAAGTCTTTACTTTCTCATGTAATATGTATTTAGGACAGCAAGCTGCCCCCCCCACCATAGCATTTTGATATCTGCTTTTTAAGTGACTTCCTTATTGTAGCTCTTTTTAAAATCAGGTTACACTTTTGGGGAGAAAAAAAAACAGAAAACAAGAATAAAATTGGACCATTTGAAAGATGTTCAGCCCTATTACTTTTTGCAGTTCTGCTTTGGAGTTTTGATACACTTGGGGGTTTAGAAATGTGTTCCGAAAATCTTCAGTGACTTGGGGAGGTTTCATTTCGGGGTACATTTTTAGAACTTGTCCCATTACTGTCTGTATGGGGCAGACCGCAGACCCAGGTGACTGGCAGCAGTCGGATACGTGTTCTGAAGTTTGGGCAGAGATTCAGAAGGACGGCCGTTATGCATCTATATACAGCATTTAGCAGATGTTTTTGTCTAAAGTGATATGCAAGTGCGGCACATAGCACATCGCAATCATACATGTTGACGAGGAGGAGAGTACGCGTTGGTGTGGCTAGACTGAGCTTGAATGCTTGGGTACAGTAGCGGAGCAGGAGCTACACAACCTCTACCAAACAAAGCAGGAACATAATACGACCATACAAGGAGCAGAAGTGCAACATAAGAACATTCAACATAGAGGTACCAGGCTAGTAGAAAACCTTGGAAATATCGAGGGTGGTGGTGACTCGATCTTTGAAAGAAATGTAGTTACAGGCTGCTAGCAGATGAGGCCCTCGCTCTTCCAGGCATTTGGAGACCCTGATGGTCAGATGGACTCTTTTCGTCGCCATAGTGACCCTTGGAATCCGGGCTATCCACCAAGAGCTGTTAATCCCCATAATGAAAGAGCGAGCCCTGTCACAGATGGCTGCGAACCCTGAGTCAGCCTCCTGGCCAGAAGGCTGTACCTAAGCCGTCGCCAAATAGCATTTCTGTGTCTGCATACAGTATGTGTGCCTTTCCATCCATCATCCAATCTGCTTATCCGATACAGAGTCAAGGTGGCCAATCCATGCGCTCAATAGAAATGCACTTCTAAAAGTGGTGTGTGTAATTGGGAGCTTCAGGGAATGGCAGGGAGTGAAGTCATATTCATTTGCTCGTCCCGCTCTGACTGTTTTCTGTGTGTCTCTGTCATCGGAGATGAAAGCAGGTCTGCTTGATTGCCTTGATCTACTTGGCGAAAGCATTTTATTGGTGACAGATTCCTGCCCAGTTTGTCTGAGAAGCTGTCACCAATTTGTTTCTTTTTTTTTGCAATATTTAGTACTTTGAGAGGAGAACAGCACCAATGCAGCCAGCAACGATCATTCAGCTTGGCTCATGGGAGTTTTACTTACACAAAAATATCCTTAGGGCAGAAAGAAAAATGATTAGTTTAGAGAGATAACCAATCAGATTATAGAGGAGGTGGGTCCAAGGAACTAGAGTAGGTGGATTAGGGTGACCAGATAATCCATGTCATCCCAGACACCTTGAGCTACTTCAGGTTTTACAAACTACCTTAAAACCGAAAGGCTCCTGCGCTTGGCTAAATTGTTAAGTTTTTCTTGTGCTTTGACTAGTTTGTTTCCTTGACTGAAAGACTCATCCAGCTGTTTCACATTAACATTAGTGACACGTGCATGGTTATAGGAGACTGACCATGCAATCAGCACACAGCAAGAACTCAGTGCTTAAGTGAAATCCAGGTCCTTTTAATTTAAATGGTAGGTTACAAATCCTGTCCTAGCTCAAGGTGTCCGGGATGACATGGATTATCTGGTCACCCTAAGGTGGACCAACCAATCAGATACTTGGTCCCACCTCCTCTAGTTGCTTAAACCCACCTCCTCTACAATTTGATTGGTTATCTCTCTGAACCAATAATTTTTAATTCTGCCCTGACAAAATTTTTGTGTAAGTAGAACTCCTACGAGCTTCAGCTTGCCCAGTATATCTGAACAACCTAAAAAAAAGCTGAAAGGTAATTCCAGCAGAATCAAGTTTTCTGTTGAAGGTGTTTCAGGCATAAACCTGCCAATGTCAATCACTGGCAGTTTTAAATCCCTTCTGATTTGGTTACTTTCTTGCTTCCTTTTGGGTTAAACAGCCAATGATTGACAGCATCCCACCCACCATAGGTTCCATCAGTATTTATTTAGAGATAGCCTTACAACAGACATGGCGCCTGAGAATAAAATGCAACTGTAAATTGTGTAAAGCGGATACTGTTATTTTTGGTACATCATGATCTATATAGTGGGACATATTGTAGAATAATGACAGGTTTACAGATTGTGTAAGTAGACGCTGTTGTTACAGGGTGCTCATTGTCTGTTAGTCACTCTGCAGTGAAACACAGTGCTCTGCTATCTCTTGCTAGTACATATGCCCAGTGTTATTCTGCCTGTTTTTGCTCACATCCAGAATTGGAACACCCAGTTAATATGCCCAATTTAGGTTTTGGAATAAAATATACATCATTCATACAAATATTTTATATACAACTTTTTCCCTGCATTTCTGCAGTTTTGGCATTTGGACAGTTCTAGTGTTCCAGTTACAGAGATCCAGAAACCAGTGCAGGGGAGGCTGCAGTATGGGATCAGACTGCATGCTGAGACCAGGCAGATGCGTTAAGAGAGCGTACCACCTGCAAGACCTCTCATGATATAAGAACACAGCACCGCTGTTTTGCTGCTGCGTACGCTGTAAAAAACATTATTTCTTTAAAGTTATTTGTTTTCCAATCTGAAAACGACATGTAACTAATGATGTAGTCTAGACCACCAAAACCGACAAAAAGTCATTACTAAGACCAGAGTGTATCGACAGCAAGACCAGACCAAGACCAAAGCAGGGCAAGACTGAGATAAGACCAAGACCGATGTATTTTTGTTCTTGAGTTTCCTGAATACAATTTATAAGTACACTTTGCTGAATGTAAATGTAAGTGTTGCAGTGTCTACCTATCAATAGACTGAATGCTACAGAGCGTCAGGAATGCTGTTGCCTGGGGGAACTTGTTTTGCTTTCAAGGTCACCTGAAGGACATTGAGATAACGTCACCTGCGGCACACTGAGACTGTTACTTGAAGGACACAGAGAGAGTGTCACTCACCAGAAAGACGGGAAATTGAGGCAGTGTTTCTCGAGGTCGTTATGGTGCTAGCTGAAGGGTTTTATCGATACAAGGTGTTCCTGGCTGTTGTCTGGAGATTCATGGGTAAATTCTCTCCCGTCGCTGCTAAACGGAATGTGGGGGCAGGTTGCTAACATGTCGACACCCTCCCCCCCACCTCGCAGAGCATGATGAGTGCCAGAGTGGGAGCCACAGCTGTGATGAGAATGCACTGTGCTTCAACACCGTCGGGGGGCACAGCTGCTCCTGTAAACCAGGATACACTGGCAATGGCACAATTTGCAAAGGTGAGCCCGTCACGTACTGCCCTCTGTTAATGTCCTTTGTGCCCACGTCCTGTGTTTGTTAACTTCTTCAGTACTCACTTCCTGTGTACCTGTTAACTTCCTCTGTACCCACTTCCTGTGTGCCTGTTAATGTTGTCTGTACCCACTTCCTGTGTACCATTTACATACACTTTTGCATAACTTCACAATGTCAAAATAAGGGCCATTCTGAAACATTTTTTTCCTTCTCTGTGCCTTCAGTTTAATATTAAACATTTAGTTTGCAGCACATCTTCCTTATTTCTGCCTGGGACTGTATCTAATGATCGTCAGTGACTATGAACCCATAAAAAAGCTATATCTCACAGGACTATATTAAAAATGAGGTTTCTGAATTATACATCAGTAGATGCCTTCACTGTTTTTTTTGCCACCACGGTGTGACATCTTTAATGAGATCTGATACCTAAAAAATACATTTCTAAATGATTATTTAAAGAAATCATAGGCAGCTATGAGAGGGTGCACAGTGACTGGTTACTGACACGTTACACGAGAACAGAGCTGATTGGTTTTCGGATACGTTGGCTTTATTATTTGGCCGTGTTTTTGGTGCACATCCCTGTGACCCTGCGTTCCTATTCCCAATGCCCCCAGCCCTTTGTGACGGCCGATGTGAGAACGGGGGTACCTGCGTCTCCTCAAATACCTGCGTCTGCCAGCAGGGTTTCACAGGGAAGAGTTGTGAGACAGGTAAGGCGTTTGGGGGTGGTCGGGGGGGAGGTGCAAGCCGGGGAAGGAGGCTAAAGTTAGCCGCTCCACTTATGAAGGAATCTAGCGCTGAGCCTTTAAGGTACGCTTCAGGAGGCTGACGTGCCCTTGGATGTAACAGAGGTAATAACATCCACAGTAGGTAAAGATCCCTGAAAGATGGCATCTAATCCCTGGATGAAGTTGCTCACAAAATGAAGAAGTGTAGGGCTTTTTTTTTCACCTGCAAAAATGGAACTAGGCCCATAAATCAGACTAGGATTACCATCATCCAGATTCACAAAGTTTCATTTCCATTCACTGTCTGAGTGTGAATGTTCAATTTACATGGGGGTGGGGGGGATATGGAAGCGTGTGATTTCTTTGGAATATTAATATTTGATTAACTGAGAAAATGAGTCGGAGTGTCATCCTCTGGGGGCCCCGAGGCTGACGGATGACGTGATGTGAAAGCGTGCGGGTGAGCGCTATCTGCTGTTCCGGCCCAAACGCAGAAGACCGGAGATGGTTCGTCTGTCTTTTTGTCTGTCCCATGACTGTGCCCCCCCCGCCCCCCGCTGCGACCGGTGAGCAGCACATCCCGCTGTGCTGAGCCGCTCGTACCCCCAGCCAGCCTTTAAAGGTGATGTGTTCATGGTGCTCAGAATGAAGCTAATGACTGTAGGGAGGCGGCACAGCGGTTCCATGATTAGCACTGTCACCTCACTCCTCTGGGACCTGGGTTTCAGTCTCTGTCATGGTTCTATGCGTGTGGAGCTTGTATGTTCTCTCCATATCATCGTGGGGTTTCTTCCCAGTATTCTGGTTTCCCCCCACAGACCAAAAACATGCTAAGGCTAATTGGAGTTACCAAATTGCCAAGTGAATGGCGTGTGAGTAAATGAGTGAATAGTGTGTGAAAATGCCGTGTGAGTGAATGGCGTGTGAGTAAATGAGTGAATAGTGTGTGAAAATGGCGTGTGAGTGAATGGTGTGTGTGTGTGTGTGCCCTGCGGTGGGTTGGCACCCCGTCCTGGGTTGTTCCCTGCCTTGCCCCCCGTAGACCCCCCATGATCCTGAAGAGGACAAGCAGTTTCAGAAAATGGATGGTTGGATGGATGGGGGTTCAGTGGTGGCAGATTCATGGGTCCCAGCAAATTACAAGGGGCCTTGAATTCAAATTTTTTGGGGGGAGCAGAATTTCTAACTATGTCCTGGCTACAGTAGCTGTGTTTTCTTAAGCTGAAGTAAATTAATTTAATTTAAGATGTCTGTTTTCTTACCTTTCTTCCTCTATGCTGGTATCGTTAAGTGCACCCCCCCCCCCCTCTAAATATAGTCCCCTTTCCATGCTCCTACCCCCGTTCCTCACAACTCTATTTGCTGTCCCGCCCCTGGAATACGTCGTAAAAGGAGCGGCGGGTGGGGGGTTTTGGGGGGAGTAAAGACAGCACCGCTGTGAATGGCCACATCATCCTTTATCTGTGTTTACAAATTCACGCTGCATGTCTCACTCCATATTTCACTCCAGTCCATGGGGAAAAGGGGTTAGGATATCCAGCAAAGGAGGAAGGAGATGGCGGGTGGGCATTACGGCGCCCCCTGCCTGTCATTCTGGCTGATCGGAGCACGTGGCCTGTCGCGCTACTGGCTGGGCAGCGGGAAAGACGGCTTCTGCCTTGGATTGGCAGCTAATTCGTCACTCGCCACTTATTATCCACCGCGAAAGTCCCTGCCTGAGGCTGCGAGTGCCAGCCGGCGCCCCCTTCAGGCCGAGTTAAGCATCAGCAGGTTGACAGGAAAGTGGGGGTGGGGTTAGGGACGTGAGGCTGACACGCATCGCATCCTCTCACGCTTCCTGTGCCCGTGTCCCGTCACACAACACAGCGTTCCCCGTCCTCCGTGTGCCGTGTTTGCCCCTCTGTGAGGAGAAACCGATTATCGGCTTCGAAAGGAGGAAATGACTGAAAGATTAACAAGCAGACAGATCTTATCTGCGCCCTGTTTAGCTGATTTTATTCCAGCCAGAAGGGACGTGCCGGGGGCTGGGGGGCTGCCCCCCCTTTTGAGGTCCTGATTGCTCATTTCCAATCACCAGCAATCGCTGATTTAACAAACTGCAACGCCCCCTCCACTTGACAAAATTTATTGTGGGTGACCCCCCCAGCCCCCAGTCTCCAGAGCCCTATAAAAACAAATAAAAAAAAATCATTTTATCTAATAGTAACCTTATGATGGATTTCTTCATTTTATTTACAGTCATTCTTACACCCATGTTCTGTCACCTCTAAGCTACTTCAAGGTCACAGCAGAGATACGGTACAGAACAGACTATTTTCTGTGAAACACGGGTCTCGTAATGAGGTCCAGACGGCTGCCATTGGTATCGGTAATTAACCCAGGCTGTTAGCCGAATGGTGTCATCCGTGAGATTCTCAGGTGGGCCACAAGGGGGTCATTTTTATGGGGGTGGG